AATTCCGCAAAACTTAACATAATATTATATTTCTCGAATCAATTAATTGTCACTTATCTGGGAAACGGATTTATTTATAAAATACGTATCAAAGATCTCTCCTATTTTTGAATATTTTATCAGATTGGGGAATTGTAAATTAATATTGAATCACATACAAACTGTTATTTGCATACATAGTAAATTTAAATTTGTGCCACTATTATAAAATATAATTACTGGTAGGAGATATATATATATATATATATAATATAAATTATTCTCAAAAATTATTTTGAAGAATTATTTTAGCTTTATATTTTTTGTGTAGTAAATCAAGTTAACATACTTAATATTTATGTACTTTATTTAAAGTAGGGTAAATAGCGCAAAATTGAATCAAGAATTTAATGAAAATAATTATGTATACGTATAAAGTTTCTTTTATTTCTTTCTCATTTATTACTATAATTCTTTTTCTAAAATATTGAACGCGAAATAAGTAAAAAATTATTCTATGTTTCTGTAAAAGTAACAAGTTCTATTTAAATGAAATTTATTAATTAAAATTATTAAAACTTATTTTTTCTGATAAAAATAGTAATTTTTGCCAATTCCTAGTGTTATGATTAATATTCATGCATATAATAACAAGTAGTAAAAATATTTTCACTTTTCTCGATATTTTAATTGTTTCTAATATAATTATATTCTATGGGAAGAAGGGAAGAGAGATATTTTTAAAGTGAGAAATCTTTCGTTTTTTTCATGATCTAACAAATACCTTTATTGTTATATATATATAAAAGGGACTAAATTACTTGTATTAATTTAATGAAAGACGGTCCTAATTCAATCGTCGACAATGGGCATTTGAGATAGTCGTGTAGTTACAAATTAATATAAATAAATTAATATAAATAAATTAAAAATATATATCGACACGGAGAGATTCTTGCGCTGCGCTCACTATGTCGTTAACTTACGCGGCACTAACAATTCAAACGGGCCGAAACCGCCGTAAGGCCCATGGGACGACGGTGGGGAAAGAGAGGAAATAAAGAAAAAAATAATTGTATTGTGACACGAAGTTCCATCCATAATAAATAAATGAAAATATTATACAGTTAGGCCGACTTTTCCGCCAGTTCGTGCCTTTATTCTGCAGGGAGAAAGAGAGAGAGAGAGAGAGAGAGAATGCAATTTTGGAATCCGATAATCCAATAATAATGTGCTACAATGTAATCGCGCGATAATAAAAGAGCGAGAAAGAGAGAGTGAGTGAGAGAGAAGCGAGAAATCGCGCGAAAGAGTAAACTAGCCAGTTTAAAAAGTAAAAATAAGAAAAGTAAAATGATAGGAAAACGGGAAAACGAGGAATTAAACACAGTGAGATAAATTAAAAGCAGAAAAAATCATCAGGAAGAAATTACACACACTATAAACGCAAGAAAGAGCAAAAAGACACCGGGTTATTGCATAATATACAATATATTTTCGGAGAACGCTGTGACATCCGTATTCTTTCAATTAAAAAAACTGTGTAATAAAAAAAGCGAAGAAACCAGTAAAACGAAGAAAGGAAAATACGTGCGCGCAAATCACACGTGCGAGCGAGAGCAAAAAAAAACGAAAAGAGAGAAATAGAGCGAGGGAGAGAGTGTGAGGTGGAGAGAAAACTATAGCAATTGTTGAACATTCGTTAAATTGTCCTCGTTTCACGATGTAATAAAGGCTATTTTACTTTGATGCCCCGCTGTTGTGTTTCTTGTGTGATTGATAACCCTGGGAGGGAAATTCGGGACGCGTAATTACGTGTAGTTTTTATATAATCGATTTGCAGTACGAGACAAAGTACATTGGTAGAACGTAACATAGTAAATGGCATATTATACATTAACGTGACGTGAGAATAAAAGAGAAAAAAGTTCAGAGACTGAATATAACAAAACATACTTTTATTCTTATTAATATCACATTTACATCTTCCCTGAGGCCTAACGCTTTGAGATCCGACCCCAAATACAGCTTGAACAATTGTACTAAAAAATTGTAGTAAAACTTGAAATTATTTAGTCAAAATATCAGTGGTCTCATTTTCAAACATAAAAAAATTAGTAAAAAAAAGCGCAAAATTAAATTTAACTTAATTTGTTGTAATTTTTAACACGTAATTTTTAATAAAACTGATAGAATTTATAACTTAGATTAAGTTTTTGAAAAAAGGTGACACACACTGTCTATTAGCATAGAATCCTCTAATCATAGTATTTATGTACACTTGTTGATAAATTAAACTACAAAATATAATTCGTAAAAACAACAGGCTCGGATCGCAATGTGTTAACGTTAACAATATAATTCATGACTAATATTACATCGCTAGTTTTAAACACTGAATATCAGCCGCGTCGCCTTTGTATCTATTTAGTTGCCGTAATAGGTGTAACTTCGGTTGCTTACAGTGCGTCGTATGTAATTCGTAAGACGTACACATATTCAGTAAAATTGGTTCTTGCAGACTTTTCAACGGATTTCTATTGACAATTCTCTCAAATAACCACACAGCTGCTTTTAGCTGACCAGTGTATAACAAACACACTGCCATATTATTAATCAACATTACATTAGATGGGTCCATTGTCGATGCAGATTGGAAACAGTTGTAGGCCTCTTGAAAGAAATTCTGCGCAACTGCCATTAAACCGCTGTCTACCAATTTTCTAATACTTGTTACCTTTTCCTCTTTATTAATGCGGATAAGAAATTTTTCTGCTGCTGTAACATCACCAAGAAATAAATGTACCCTTCCTATGGCTGATCTTAGGATACCTATTTGTTCTATCGTCCAATCAGGTAATTTGCACAGATCTTCCAGTATCTCTATTGCAAGAATATAGTTTCTCATGCCGATAGCGCAATTGACGATAGAGACCAAAATTCTAGATTTCCTAGCAGTCCATAATTTTGCAGCATCTTGCTGATCGGATTCGCTGATTTTTGTAAGCACTCTCTCACCACTGAAACCAGCTTGGAAATTGGCTATAATCTGATTGACAGTTGCCAAAAGTTTGAATAAATTTTCTAATGTTTGTTTCGGTTTACCATAGTAAGATGGGATTTCTGCCAGTAATAATCTAAATGCAAATGATGCCATGGAACCTGGTCTGGTGCCATACAATTCAGGATAAAAAGTGAAATACATATCAGGTTTGTCCAAATTGCCAAATGGCTTTGACTCGTTTTCCAGCACATCTATCTGTCGCAATTTGGCCAATAGTGACAGTCTTGTATACCAGAGCTGCAGAGAATGGGGTGTGTGCTTGCTAGGTTGATTGATCTTGCCATAGCCCTGAGCATAGATAGCCAACAGTCTACCAGATAAATTGACCGCTGCTCGATAACAGCTAGCTTGTATCAGATTCCTTAGACCACGTTCATCCTGTGTCACGTCGGACGCTGTGAGCACGTTTCGATGGATATTCTCATCTTCACCTAGGAAGTGGATAGAAGCATTCTTGATTAAATCAGGCATATCGCCTTGTACAGCCAGTCCAGGCATAGTGAGATTCTCACGGTCCAGATGACTGGTGCCAGTCGCAGTGGTTACAATAGATCGTAATATCTTGCGAGTATGTTCCGATGGTATCCATATGTCTCTATAAGCATCATTCAATGTACTGTGCTCGATCCGATCAACTGTGGCATCTAACAATGATGTCGTAGATGTACACAGGGAATCTGTATCAAAGGCGCTTGTTTGTCCACCATCAGACAAGGGATCATAGTCAGAAACTCGATTCACAGTAGCCGATTGTACATCGAATAAACCAGGTTTCTGAAATGCGATAATTTCATCGAAAATCGTGGGCGGAGCACTGTTTAAATAACGACTGATATCTACATTAATATTTGTGTCTCCGTCTTTTGACTTGATGGTGTTATTTTCTGCCATTTCTTTCTTGCAATTAGATTATCTTATTCTAAGACCTCGGATGTATATATGTTACCTGAAAAATATAAATTAACAACTTTTCAAGGATTATTGTTATTCCAATAAAAAAAATCAGATTATGCTTCGTACACATATCAAACTCGAGTTTTTTCCTTTTCTTGTTTATAAACGCCTGTTCTCTTTTTTCTCAATATTTTAGTTTTCACAAAAATTTAAAAAAATTCTGTAGCAGATACTTTACAAAATTAAAGTTGTCAAACCGTCAAAACTCTCAATGCTAATTATTAACAATGAAAGGTTATTCTCTAATTGAGGTTATATGTCCTAATTTCTAAGTGCGTGTTATCAGCGCCACCAGCGGATCAGAGTTATAGCTATCCGAGCCAATCCGAACTACGTTCCAAAATATTGCTCATTCGCCAATCATCCGCATTAAGCAGCCATTTGTAATACCAAGAAATCAGTCTTATGATTGGTTACTAGATCACGTAATGACAATAACCAAACAGAACATCGATCTCTACTGGACTCTACTGGAAACCTTTTTTGAAGCGACAAATCGGGCAATGGTAGATTATAGGAGCCTACAGACCAGCGGCGCAGCGGTGAAGCGGCGAGCGATAGCCAATGAGAGCCAAACGTAAGGCGTAAACGTAATCAGTAAGCGAATTGACCAATCACAGTTGAGAACGTAAACGGCCGCCTCTTACGTCTCAACTGTGATTGGTCAATTCGCTTACTGATTACGTTTACGGCCTTACGTTTTTCTATATGCCATGGGCTTTAACGAGTTATAAAATACAGGGCTGCTTTCAAAATCATCATCTGAGTGCACCCAGGTGTTGTGTTATCCTTGTTTATCATTCGTGTAAAACAACATCTGGTTGCATCCGGACGACGATTCTGAACGTGTACCCCAGAGGCTGGTCTGTAGGCTCCTAAAAAAGGGTGCGTTCCAAAACTTGACTCTATCAACTCCGAGTATGTTTTATCTTTGTTATTTATTGAATGATGAATAAGGATAAAAGATCCTCGGAGTTGACAGAGTCAAGTTTTGGAACGCATCCAAAAGTTGAGCGGGACAAGTTTAGTACGGTTTAAAATCGTTTGAATTATTTAAAATATTTTCTGTTATTAATGTATTTTTTTCTGACAACACAAATGACCGTAACAGATATTTAATTCCGGACAAAACCTACAGAAGCGATGATGGCCACATTATAACTGATTACACAGCGCGAGGAAGCTTGAAGTACATTTATTGCACGAAATCTGGCGAGCGGGTAGTGAAGATTTGGAGGTTAATTGACGCGCGAAGATAAGCCGGCTTTGACGAACACGATGATTGAGACAGACAAAAAGGGCTGCAGGAAGTTACTGATACAGCGGATGACCTTGGCCGTCATTACGAGTACAATATTGCAACTATTCGTCGTCTGTTGTGTCGTTCTACTCACGAATCTAAGCACGGACTATGCACACTGGCTCGAGGAAACTTGGACCATTGTAATGTCTCTCCGAATGTGGGCTTATTTCATCGTTATTACTATGGTGACCTTTCTGCAGAGTTTTTTCTGCAGCAAAAGTTATCTGCATCCTCCATTGTACTATAAGAGCAGATTTGCCAAGATGTATATGTCTCTTAGGATTCAAAGCTTACTTCAACGAGCATTGTATATTGTTATCGGTGGTATCTTGACCTGGTTGCACTTGTCATTGAAGAAAGAAAGCTATAACTCTTCGACTGCTGCCTGTAGCATTGTGTATGGGACATATCTAGAAGAATACTACTTTCTGCTATTCAGTGGTCTATGGAGTGGACTGTATTTTTCGCTCAAAACTGGCAATTTTAATGAGAAATATTTTCAATTTCCTATTATAGCGCAATCCAAATTTTTTCAACTGAGACAAAGATTTTATACCATGCTTCCAACAATGATGATTTCCTCCATGTGGTCGACTCTGTATTTCATGTCTATTTATTATTTCATGGGATCATATTTCCGTGAAACGTTATTGTCAGTTTCCATGCAGATGGAGGTCAAACCTTTAGATTCTGTATCTAAATTATTAAATCTATCACTGATATTGCAACTGTGGCTTTATCAATTTATATTTATATTGATTATCAACAACACAAACACGCTATTTGAAATATATCTGACTGAATGGGCTCCATTCAAATTTGGCTTGAGTGGTGCATACACTCCTGATAGTTCACAGACTACCCTTATTGATGTACTATCAATGGACAAGATACCTATAATGCAGCACTTGGGTTACTTAGACTTGGTTACCTTGGCTCAAAAGGAGAAAATGAGAAGAAATATATTATTTACACTCAGCCAACCAGGTGGTCATCCATATAATTGGAACTGTATAGTGCAAAAGAGTACAAACCTTCTCGAGAAGTTCTCGTCGGACCTCAATGCGATATCTACAAAATCTCAAGATCAATCCTGTTATAGCACATTGACAGCAAGAGTCCCACAAGTTCAGCAAAGCAAATATATATATCAAATGCGGAAATTAGTACAAGATGCAACACCAATGTTAGTATCAGAAGAAGATACAAGGGAAGCACCTTACAGTGGTTCATTTATTCGAAAGTTTATCAAGCAGAAAAAAGATGCTTTTATAGCATATTTGTTGTCTAAACCACTTATCAATTACATCTTTGGTGAACAAGATGACAATAAAATTCGTTATACTTTACAAAATGGACAATTGGTGATTTGGGCAGCCGAAGCTATTTCATCTTTGACTGTCTTTTCACTAAGGGAAGATTCATATGGTATTGTACAAAAAGATGTACCACTCATCATCAACACTCTGTTGTCTGTGAAGCAGGCTCTGGACAAACTACCAAAATCAGCTGTGCTTGCAAGAAAAATGCAAGCAGATGATAAATTAATTAGGGAAATTTTTACATCTTTACGAAGTGCGATAAAGCGTAGTTTATATAGAATTGTTACAAACTTTGAACCATACATTAATGACTTGTCTCTTGAACTTCCAATAATAGAACAATTGCAGGGCTTTCTTAATTATAAGGAATAGTTTATAAATACTGATATCTTGTTATAAAGTGTATTTTTATGATTAAGAGATTTTGAATCTGCCAAAAAACACTATATTTTAGGTTTATTAAATTCGAGTTATTTTTTTCAATAATTACATTTATGTATTAAACATGTGTTATATTTATTATACTTATGCGCGCGAAGAAATAAAATATGTAAAAAGAGGATATAGATAAAAATTTCTGTAATAAAATATACATGTTTAAGTTTATAATTGTATGATTATATTATATGTATAAATACAAACAGAGAGCAATATATTTTTCGTCAAGTATATACTTTTAATTTGTAACACATGTGAATAAATAGTTTGTTTTTAATTTGAGGATTATCTTCTATTATTAGTAATTTTTTTTAGATAAATGATCAATTTTAAAGGGGTTATAATTTTGAAAAAATAAAACATTTATAGTAAATTTTAATTATTAAATATTTACATGATACAAAAATAATTTTTGTCTATTTTACATTTTTTTAATATTTTGTACAATACTTAAATTATAAAATAATTTCTCTTGTAGTGTTAGCCAATTTTTCGTTTGTGCCTTCTGGATTTTCCGTAGATAATTTCGTAATGTATTGTTCTCAGAAATTGCTGTACCATGCCACTTTAAAAATACTGCCAAATACGCTTGTGATAATTCAAAATCTGTCTGTCGTTCCATCATACAAAGAAGCATTTGCATAAATTGTATCATTGACAGTTCGGCAGAACTCTCGTCTAAAGACAACGATTGAATTTCGAAATCAATGTTGCTGGGACCCATTGCCTTCAATTTCTCTATTACGTCTGAAAAATCGTTAGTATTGACTGATTGCAGACTCTTGTTGAACGAAGTGAGATTTTGTAAGGCTGGATGAACAAGGGTAGTTTCAGTGTTCTTATTGGTTTCAACGTTCGAAAAATCGAAGCGCAGTTGCAACGATGGAATCGTAGGTAAGAAAAACGGCGCAGTTTCTGGAACTTTAGGCGGCTGTTTCGGTTTATTTCTTTTTTTAATGATATCGATATCGAGTAAATTCTGCCATCTGGATTGGGCCACGGCGGACATGGTTATAAGATCGCTATCTAGCTGATCAGGAGACACATAATCAGGCTCTTTGATAACATCATCTTCATCGACTTTCTCGGCTTCTACAGAAGATCCAGGAAGTCCTACCTCAGGTATCATATCGTCTTTATTAATGGCCTTTAGCGACACATGCGAATACAGCATACGATTCGACCATAAGAAGATTCCTATGTTATGTACATGCACGGTCGCAAGAAATTCTGCCGTTGGAGAGAAACTTAAAGATATGCAAGCTTCGGGAACCTACAAGAGACACAAGATTCATCATTAATACATATTTTCCACAATCCAAATAATTAAAAAATTTAAACAATATTTAGAAAAGTGAGAAAAGAAATATGAGTAAATGGTAATCTATAGTCTGTCTTATATGTATATAAGAGTGGTCAACTTCTATAAAAAAATATATATTTTTATATGCACGTATTTAAAAAAAAAAAAACAGCTTCGTAGAATGATGTATAAACGACATTCATTTTAAATTTTTTAAATATGCTTTTTTTTTACTAAAATTTAAACTGTAGCTAATAATAATACATCAACCAAAAAGGTGACATCAATCAGTACAAAAAAGTTGGCAGTGCATCTCTTACTATGAGTAATAGTGATAACGCTCTTATTGGACACACTATATTTTGCAAGAATCCATCTATTTATCTATTTATTTATAATTCTGAAATAACATTTACCTGAAAAATATCTATTAAGTGTGATGATGATATGTCCCACGTTCGGATAGTACAATCCATTGATGCTGTGATTAACCACCTAGAATCAGGATTAAAACATGCATCTGTTATTCGTCCTTCGTGTCCTTGAAAGTGTCGAACTATTTTCCTTGTGTCCAGATCCATTAAAATAATATCAAAATTTTCTAAAGCTATAGCCACAAGAGAACTCTCATTGTGACAACGTATCCATTCAATTGATTCTTGTATTTCTAATATCGTTCTTGCCATAATTATATCTGAAAAATAAAAATTACATCAAAATATCATTTACTTTGAAGGAAATATAATTAATTATGGTACAAGTGTTACCTTTTCTAGGTTTAAAATCCCAGAACTTAATTTTTGCGTCTTTGCCAGCTGTAATAAGAGTTTTATTTAAGTCGTCAATCATAACACCCTTAACAGGACCTTTATGAGCGCCATTCTCATTTCCATAAGATGCTCTATGTATTCCTGATTGAATGTTAAATCTATCAACATGACCTGTGTTATAACCGATTACAACAAAGTTTCCACATCTTGTTAAACATAAACTAGTCGCAATAGCATTGTAATTGTTTTTAAATCTTTCGGGAAGTAACTTCAGGTCACCCATCTTCTGAAGGTGAGATGACCACGTAGTGACCATACCCAAACCAGAATGAGCTGCTGCTATATTGCACCATTCCTTTTCTCGTGTTACTTCAGATGCAAGTACAGTCACTGGTGGCATTAACATTGGATCATCAACTGATAGACCCTTTTTTTTAGAAGCTTTTCTGTTAAATGAGGCTCTACCTAAACTCTTGTTCAGTATTTCTGTGACAGTAGAAAACATGCGAAGAGAAGAATCACCGCCTGTGGTCAACATGTAATTACCATCATTTCCATAAAATCGAACAATCGTTGGAGGTTCAGCATGGCCTTCTCTAATCCTCAAGAGTCTACCAGCTCCGTCGATCATATCAAATATCCATAGTTTTAGAGAATTGTCAGGTGAAGATGAAACCAATAATGGTTCATTAGGTATGTATCTCAAACCTGTGACAGCAGCATCATGTGCATTACAGAGCTGGCTCTCTACCATTTGCTGCTCTAAATTCCAGAACACAATCTGTCCACCTAAACTGCCTGTTGCCATGATAGGGTGACCATCCGTACGAAAGCTGATAGATATCACTGGACCCCAATCTTGTACTAGATCAAAGATGGTTTCATCATACTTGAGATTGTGCAAAATAATATGGCCATTATTCAAACCTATAGCAGCCACATCTATCGCAGGCGCTTGCTCCAACACAATCACGCTACTCTGCCATCCTTTGAATGTATAGATCATCTTAGTTATTTTGATATTCCAGAGCTGTAACTGGCCCTGTTCGCTGCCCAGCAGAATCTTGTTCATATAGGTGTTAGGATGCATCAGCGCAGTTATCTTGAAAATGTTATTGCTGAAATTCAACTCCAGCAAAAGATTTTCCTCTTTTATGTCCCAGACCTTAACGGTGCTGTTCTCGTCGACAGAGAGCAAATGTGCGCCGAATGGTAACAGAATATGGACTGTACAGTCATGACCTTTGTAGGTATGTTTCAATTCAGTTCCTCTACGCCACGCGTAAATGTTATTCGCACTAGCCGTGTATACGTGAAATGTATCCGTAGCCAAGCAAGTGATATCATCAACATGCAGACGTGAGACACTCAGAAGAGTAAAGTGTTTACAACTGTAAGTGTGGAACGCTTTACCTACACATGTGACGATAAAATGCTCCTTTCTTCTGATAATGTACCTCGTAACAACAGGTACATGATTACTAACATATCCGAGCGCTCGATTCCGCGCAAATATTCTACTTTGTACCATTCTATATTATTCTATATTACAAAAAAGACGCAATCGCGAACGTAAACGCAATCTCCAATCACTAGTGTGATACGGGCATAGACATAATAGATAGACCAGTGTTGCCGCAGGTCGAAAAATAAATTCACTAAATGGGAGCCTGAAAAGTTACTAAAATGTCTGAAAAATCACCAAATGTGTGAAACGATCAAAAGAAAAGGTTTTTACAGACTTTCAAATCGTATCGGAAATGTGCCACGTCTCAAATAATTTGTGAAAACCACGTTTGCCATATATATTCAAATATATTTATACTCGCATACATTATAAAATTACTATAAAAAAAGATACACTTAAAAAAATAATGAACTTGTTACGCATTAACTATTACATTCTTTGTAACAACATTCGGTGCATTATGAACGACAACTCTGTCAGTTATATATATTTTAAAATTAATTTAAATAAGATTTAAAAACCCACTAACCGCTCATGGGATACTACGCTTAAATCGGGGTCGCATTTAAACATGTACTACAAATGGAGCCTTCCATTTGCTCAGCGAGCTCTTGAACCTATTTGGTTCATATTTTTAGATCTAACGGAATACGCCAATCACGTGCAAGAACTCATGAGCACTCAGTGAGCGGTTATCGTATTGCACCCATTGGGTGGATCCAGAAACACGACCGCTCACTGAGCTCTCAATAAGCACTTCCATCTGATTGGCATATTCCATTAGATCTTGAAAAATAAACCAAATAGGTTCAAGAGCTCATTGAGAGTCTTTTCACCAACGCCGATTAACTTAATCGACGATTAGTCCATTGGAATTGACCAATCGCATCTGTCGTCAAAACTAAATGATAAATGCGATTGGTTAATTCCAATGGACTAATAGTCGATTAAGTTAATCGGCGTTGGTGAAAGAGGCCCTGGAGCGTTCAGTGATCGGTCGTGTTTCTGGATGCACCCATTAATTATGAGTTGATTCGTCATTGTTGACTGTATCAATTGTTTGTTAAATGAGATCATTCAAAAACATTTGTATAAATTTACGCATAAACTATTAAAACCAATTAGAGCCATGATTTACGTCTAAACTATTGCTCCCGATTATAATAATTGTCTTATCGTAAAAGAATTTTATCCTCAAACTAATATAAGGTTTGGAACAAAAATTGATTCTAATTTGAACATTAAAAATTAAAAATTAATGAATTAACCGTGATTTGAAATATTCGAAAAGTGCATTTCAGAAGTTGAAGTAATTTTAAAATATATCTGTTTCAATATGACAAATACTGGTCTATTGGTTCTAACAAATCCTTCGAAAATGAAGGGATTACTGTTCATAATCGAGAATCAGAAAAGTCTAAAAACTTTGTACATCCAATATCTTCCAGGGAAGAATATTTTTGCAGGAAATTATAACTCTACAATATTACAACAAAAAGATCCTGAGTATTCTAAGACGATCATTGACATATACAAAAGTATTTCTACAATCGCTTCTGGTCTTGATATTCGTGTTTTGCTCACAAACTTGAAATATCCCAATAGATCTATTATAAATACTAAAAAACCTGTAGAAGTAGTTATCTTTGATCAAAAGTGTAGTAAAGAAGATGCAGATACATTCATTCAGAATTGTTTAGCAAATAAGTCGGTGAATTATCATTTTATTAACCACATGCTTGGTACACATCAGAACTATTGTAAAAATATAAAATATGATGCTCAGAAAATAAAAACTTACAAAAATGTAGTACTAGGTGGTACATTTGATCGATTACACAATGGACACAAGATTTTGTTAAGCGAGGCTGTACTGCGATGTACAGAAAAACTTACTGTTGGTGTGACAGATACTAACATGATTACTGGTAACAAATTTTTATAATTACTTAGTTTAATTGAGATTTATTTTATAATGTATAATAATGCTTTTGAATAATTTTTAGATAGAAAAAGTATGAAATGATTTAATGATATCACAATTATACAATGATATATTTAGACATCAAATAAATATTTTTAGGTAAAGTGTTATGGGAACTCATACAACCATGTACGCAAAGAATAAAAAAAGTTGAAGAGTTTTTGGAAGATATAGATTCATCAATATCATACAATGTTGTTCCTATTAATGACATTTATGGACCTACTAAGGAAGATCCAACATTTGAAATGATAGTTGTAACTGAAGAAACAAAACGTGGAGGTGATAAAATCAATGAATTACGTTTGCAAAAAAATTTGAACAAATTGGATATTCATGTAGTAGAGTTAGCAGCTGATGAAGACCATAAAGAACATGAAGAGGCTAAAATTAGCTCTAGTAATCACAGAATGCGATTACTTGGTACATTACTTCAAGATCCTGTAGGTTTTATACTGAATGTTTACAATATAACAAAATATAAAATAATTCTCATATGAAATTTTCTATATATATATATATATATAATCTTATTTAAATTGCATTTTATTACGTAATTTAATAATTTAATATTTCTTCTATTAGAGAAAAAGTAAAGTCTTAAGATATCATATCTTAAAACCTTACATCATTGGTTTAACGGGTGGTATTGCAAGTGGAAAATCTTCAGTTGCTGAAAAATTGCAACAGCTTGGCGCTGGTCTTGTAAATTGTGATAAATTAGCTCATAACTTATATTTACCTGGAACAGATTGCTTTAATAAAATAATTGAATATTTTGGCTCTTCTATTCTTGACTCAGATGGATGTATAAATAGAAAGTTACTTGGTGACATTGTGTTTAATAATAAGGTATTTGATGTCTTATATTCTATAATATTTAATATATATATTATTTCATACAAGTATTTTACATAGGAGCAATTAAAAAAATTGAACAAATTAATTTGGCCTTTAATTCTACAAGAAGCTAAAAAAGAAATAACTATTTTTTATAAGAAGCATCATTATATTGTTGTACTGGAAGCAGCAGTTTTAATTCAAGCTGAGTGGCAAAATGAATGCAATGAAATTTGGACTTGTATTATTCCAGAAAATGAGGTTAGATGTCTTCGTATTTCACAGATAAATTATATTTTACCTATGCATATATACTAATAAGAATTTGTTTAGCTATTATATTATTCCAAATTTTATATTTTATATTTAAATATACATATATTTTTATAATTGTTTATATAATCTAAATCTTTTCATAAATCTATTATTTTTGTAGGCTATAAAACGAGTTATGGATAGAAATGGATTGTCTGAGGAAGCAGCAAAGTTACGAATTAACATGCAACCAAGTACTATGGAGCAAGTTAAGGAAGCCAATATTGTTATATGTACTTCGTGGAGTTATGAAAGAACCCTGGTACAAGTAGAAAGAGCATGGAGAGAATTAATAAAAAGGATTTAAACAAATTCTAGGCTTTTTGATAAATAACATTTAATTATTTTGTGATATACAATTTATAATTAAAATATTGATGTGCATTAATGAGAGAAATATTAACTGGATATCAGAGATACATAGATATTAATAACAAAAAAGAATACTATTTTTTATTACTTGTATAATAGTTATAAAAAGGTATAAACATTATTTAGCAAATAATATATTGTCACTCATTATCAGTTTTTCTTCTTTATCTTCATGCCTTGTTATTAGAGCACTTAGAAACAATCGAAAATCGGCTTTTAATTTGTCACCACCATCGTCCACATTGCATTTCACATGAGAGACATTAGAAAAACTAGATACTTAAACACATGTAATAATTAAAAAATTAATTTATATACATGATATTTTTATTTTAAATTTGGAAAATAGAGAAAAATTTGATTTAGAAATCGAAATTTTGTAAAAATTAAATTATATATATTTAAGCACTTACAAATATTTTTTGATGCGCTGGTTGCGGTATTATCAGGATCGAAGAAGAATATTACACAACTATTTGGCCCTAATTTAGCTCCGCTAACAAAATAATCGTAATATTCTTTCAATTTTCTTGAAGAATCCTGCATTTTTGCACTGTACACTAAAATTACGCCGTCTACATCTTTACGTATAGCTGGCCAGCAATTTTTAAACCTGTGAAATGTATTTCTACAATATCTTGTCTCTCTTTCCTTTAAAATTAAATTTTACAAAAGCATTTATAATGTTATTTACTTGTAATTTCCACTGCAGTCCCACAACTCGAGATCTTTCGAGATGTGTTCATTATTTACTTCAATATCATTAATTTCAAATTCTAATATTCGAACACCTTGAGTTGGATGATAATCAAACGGAATTTCTGTAGCCTCTGCCAAAAAATTTGCTATTGTGGTCTTTCCGCTCTAAATAATAAGCATATATGTATATGTATGTATACACACACACACACACACACACACATAAAATTTAATACATGTACAAGGAATGAAAGTTACTTTTTAAAAGTAACAAGTTACAGTTGCTCGATATCGAGTAGAAAAAGTAATTACTTATCGTTATTAATAATGATTTTAGTAACTCGTTACAGTAACCGTTACTTGAAAAAGTAACTTTTCATTATTTTTAAAAAATCAGTTTAAATGTTAATAAAAACAAGATACAATGACACTCCAACTTTAATTTTTTTACTTTTTTTTAGAAACATTTAATAATTCTGAAACATGTACAATATGCGGCAAACTGAAATGTCTATCCGATATATCACGTAGAAATGTAAAATAATTCCAGTTGAATTGTATCCAATCGCGTGTGCCAAATAATGATAAAAGTAATTGTAAAATTCGTTACCGTTATAAGAAAATGTAACTACGTAACAGTTACAAAAAAAAGTAACTCAGTTATCAGTAAAGTTACCCAAAAAGTAACTTGTAACTATAACTTCGTTACAAATAACGAGTTACTTCTATTTCTTGTATTATATTTATATACGTATTTTAGATATTACATAATTTTGACGAAATAAGACCTGATAATAAAACGTTTTCATATCTTTTTAAAAATATTTGTTCAAATATTCAATTTATGGATAATCTTACCTCAGTTGGTCCTACCATTACTAATTTTAATGTGTGCATTATTTAACAATAGTAAATGCAAGTATGTGTTAACATTCCATTGCATCTGATGAGTATGTACAACAATATAGAATGCATTGTTTGGCAATTGTTGCTATAACAACCGTTGTCTAGATATATACACACAACATTATTAAGAAAGCAATTGAAGACATATTATACGATTTGAATTGAAATTATATCGAATACATTAAAAATGCATTAAATATATATATATATATATATATATATTGCAATAGAAGTGCATACAGATTTATCTAAAGATTAATTATTTAAGTTTAATTAATCGCGACATTAAAGAGAATGAGAGTGTTGCCAAAGATTTCATTAAAATGTAGAAATAAGCAATTTGTAATAAAGTACACATGTGCTTATTTAAAAAAATTATCTATTTTGCCTGTACTTTTTGAAACAACTGGTGTTTTTTTTAATACCAGTTGATTGTCTTATTGTTCGTAAAAAAGTATTAAAGTACAATTATTAAAAAATTAATACGAGTAGTTTACGAGACATTTAATATTTGATATCAATGTGTCAGAATGAAGTAAAAATATAAATATCGAGAGAGAGATCAATACTCTTTCTCTCGCTTTCCCTCCCGCCCTCTCATGAAGTGAACGGTAAAGTTCATGAAATGTTGGCAATAGTAATGGATTACGACACGGCGATAACCTGTAAACCTATATATCTCTTAAATTAAACTATTAATTTTTTGATATTTCTATCTTAGTATTTTATATACAGAATATTTAGAGAATTAATGCAAAAAATATCATATAATTCTATTTTAAAAAGTAGAGATGACCTTCATATATTTTTGGCACCTCTACCTAGAAGAAAAACAACGCGACCAACACACATAATCCTCAAAAATCGTTCCATTTTTATCTAATTTTTTCAAAAATAAAAATGATAAATTAAAATGGGACATCCTATATATTACTTGATTGATTCATGAATGATTGCTCAATCTTTGTAAAGTATTTATAATAAATTATTAAAGAAATATACGAACTATTTCTTAAGTTACATTATATATAAATTTATTTTGATATATCTTGCAAGTATTCACTTCAACATGTATTGCAAAATGTGTAAATTATACATAAAATATGCAGAAAAGATGAATATACGTCATTTGTAAAGTTATGATAGTTTATTGAATACATTAAATGTTTAATACATTCGTTACTGTTTTTTTTAACAGTATATTTAACACTATGTAATGCAGCCATAGATTATGTATAACCATTATTATTGCAATAATTAACATATGATTATATAAAATAAAAATGTAATTTGATTACGGTTATTTGCTCATTTAAAAATGTGAAGTACATTTTGCTATTGTGATGTAAATTACTTACAGTAAAATTTTTCTCTAAAATTCTAAATGAAATTATGTAAAAATATGTTTACTAAACAATACTTCAAATATAAGCTACAAATAATTCTAACATGTATTTTATTACCCACTAACACATATCATCATATTTGTATGGTTAATTAAATAATTTGATGTCCAACTTCTTATAATATTATTTTTTCTATAAGCATTCCGAATATTATTAAGTAGCGCATCAAATGTACATTTTTTTAAACAATCATATTAATTATATATATTGTATAATTATATATTTAATTGTATATAATTCAGATCTGTCCAAAGCTAATTTGCGAGTTAAACACTTTTTCTTCTATATCGTCTCGAGCGAAATAGAGAGAAAAAATAAAAAATCAGACGCCAAAGCTCTGTCTAATGACTAGCTACTCTATCATTTTTATCTTCTATTTATCTCGTTCAACGAAATGATGGATAGGAAGTTTTGAGCTCTCAAACTAAATTTTGGACAGGCCTGAATTATGTATTATATAACTGTATAATTATTTATGAAAAATATACATTCTTTGACAAAAAATTTCGCATAGGTCTAAATATGGGGATAGTTTTCTCGAGAACAATGACAGATGTGGTTCGACGCGTAGGACCTTTCTCGTAAGTATTATTGAGAAAAATCAAGATAGTTCTATGGCATTTTGTCATATCTATTACAATTTTCAAGATAATGGCCTTTTTTTGTCTAGATTTATGCAAAATTATTAAAGATTTAAACATTTTTATATACAAATGTTTAAACAATAAGAAAAAAGAAGAGAACGTGGCTGTGAAAATATAAATACAAACAAGAGAGAGCGATAAAACCACAACACTGGGTGTCAATAGCGAACGTTATATATTTGAAAAATTCTTTGTCAACAGTATAATATATTGTACTGTTATATAATATATTATACCGTTGACAAAGAATCTTAATGTTCGCTATTGACACTCAACGTTGGCTTTATTGCTCTCTATATTATTTATGTGTACAAATATTTGATTTTTCTTATACATATTGTAAATTATGTCACATAGTGTTTTCCTGAAAACTAAATTGAGAAAATAATATGACAAGAAATTAGGTGTAAATTTAATTAAGTTTCTTTTAATCATGTGATTTAATGTGTATATTTATATTTTGATAGATAACAAAATCATATGTTAACTTTCATTATGTATACATTTATTATACTTAGAAAAGTAAAATGCGAAGTATTATGCCAAAAAATTCAAGATTGTCAGCGTGGGTAAGTAATACAAGTAGCAGTATCATCAAAACAATTATTAATATTTTATAATAAAGATCAAATAAAAAAAACTGTGTATAACATTTTGAAAAGTTTATATTGAAGTATAAGATATATTTACTCTTTAACCAATTGCCATTAAATCCTGCTTATTAACATCTTCCGGATAAGTTAAGTTGTATAATGCTAGTAATGCTGCTTTAGCTGCGGCTTTCTTTGCATCCTTTTTGTTTTTAGCTAAAATAAATATAAAAATTATTGTTAATGATATCAAAAGTAGTTCATAATAATTCGCAGAATATATACATACCTGTTCCTGAATATTCAATTCCAGCAATTTCAACAGCTAGAGTAAACATTGTATTTGGTGGGTTACCAACACGGCTGATCTCTGCATATGTTAATCCAGGTCTCATTTGATTCAGTAACATAACTGGATGCATATTAGTAGGATTAGGTGGAAGTTCCTTTTGAGTAGGAGTTTTAACATTAGGATTTTCTTTCTTAACTCCTTTCGCATTTGGTAAACCAGGTCGAGGGACCGGAACTGATGTTCCTTGATTATGCCATTCAAGAAAGAGTTTATAAAGTGCAAAACTGGCCAATGAACTCCATGGAATCTCATCTTCAGAATTTGTATCCATCACGTTGCTATCATCATTTTCTTCTTTTATTTCATCCATACATGTATTAGTAATTTGTCCATCTGATTCAGCATCTAGACGTGCTTTCATAGATGCTGCTGTCATTTTTTCCAGTAATAAAGCTTTTAATGCATTTTCAGCTGCATTTTGGCGAGCTAGTGGTTTAGATAATCCTTGTCCAACATAAGTTTTACCATCAAGCTATAAATAAATATTATTAAAGCATTTTAAAGATGAGATTTTTAACATTGTATTATAGAATATGTTAAACGTCATATTATATGTTAAGTAACATTTATTTTTTGTAAGAATCAGAAAAAATGTTAATTAAAGTAACAAAATAATTACTTCAGCATGAACAAGATAAAGTGAGTTCGGCATGGGTCCTTGTGTTTCAGGGAATGTAAATTGGACTCCAGCTTTCATTTCGTTTAATACCATGATTGCATTTTTGGGTTGTAGAGTTTTTCTTAGACGTTGATTCATACGAAGACGTTTTAATTTTTTATTTACTTTAACTACAAAAATCATTATATTAGTAATATATGTACATAATATAATATGAAGAATTATAATGTAATTTAAATATCAGTAAACAACTTCACATTGATTACAGAAGTCTATGCTCAAATATAATTGTGTCAAGAGCATTCCAAGCCCTGAATCTTCAAATTTGCGCAGTGAAATGTCATCACCAGTTTCTAATCACATAAGACAGAGCAGGATATTTCACCAGTTTCAACTTTAAATACAAATATTTACGGTATCAAACAATATTTGCTTGTAGTAACGTGCTTATAATTACATTATACAATATAATTATAATCTCCTTGAGAACACAAACACAACCTTTAAATAATCAACGTGTGCTGTTTATAAATGTAAATATGAGAAATGGACGAAAAACCCTGCTCTATTCTATTATGAATTTTGCTGCAATTTTCATTATTTTAATCATAAATTATTTAATTTATTTAGATTAAAGCCAGTTCTACATTATTTTCATTACAGCAAGCGTGTCGCAAGTGTTGCGCTTCAATCAGAGTCGAGCTAGCTTGACATCGATTTGCAACGCTTGCTACGATGCAAGTAACGAAGAATCAGCATTATAATTATGCTTAAGATTTTTTTTAATGTTATACATAATTATATACGATTATTATGTATGATAATGTATCACAAAAAATGATCAAAAATCTACTAAAACTTTATGTTAATTACTTGCACTAGAACATTATAATAGGATTACACATCTTTGTTATATCATTTACTTTTATATCATTGTTCTAAATATTCAAATTCTAAATAGATTAAAAAAATGTACAAAATAATATATTTCTGTTATTTTGTAACTTACATCCAGGTATTTTTCTTCGCCATCTTGGTTGGGCATCTTGCATATCAACATCTATGCTTTCAGATTTATCATCTATCTCAGAATTATTATTAGATGTGTTCGGAGCAACTATAGAAGGCTGAGGAGTAACAGTTGGTCCAATAGTAGGTTGCGCGCTTATTGTAGTATGTTTTAAAATCGGTTTCAATCGTTGCGGCAATGGAGGTGCATTTGACGTTTGTTGTTGCTGTATAACTGATTGTGATTGGTTTATTTGCTGCGGTGATTGCTGCTGCTGCTGTTGTTGTTGCTGCTGCTGCTGCGGCTGCGGCTGCTGCTGCTGCATTTGTAGCTTTTGCTGTTGTCCTTGTTGCTGCTGTAATTGTTGTTGAGGAGGCTTTTGAAGTTGTTTTAGTTGTGTAGGTGCTATAGTTGGTACAGGCCGTGTTGCTGCAGCTGCTGTTATTTGTGTTGACGGTTGTTGTTGTTGTTGTTGTTGCTGCTGCTGCTGCTGCTGCTGCTGTGATTTGAATCCTTGTGAATTTTGTATGTTGTCTTGTTTATAATTGCTTGGTTGAATGGACGTAGGTTGCGATGATTGGTAACTTCCTTGTGTATTATACTGTAAAACATAGGGTGGGTCGCCGCTACACAAGGAACCTCTACGGTAGTGCTACCCCACCAAGGTCTAGTATCGTATGTTAAAATAATTAAATGCTACCCCTATAGCTCATACCAACCATTACCTTTACTCTCTGTGGCCAACGTCTCTTTACTCATGACTGAGCTAAGTTTGTGGAATTAAAAGTATACCGTTAAACAGCATTTTTGTACATAGTAGATATTTATAGAAGAGAAGAAAGTAAATTATGTTTTTTATTGTTAATTTATAATACATGTTAAAAAGTAGAAAGAGAGCAACAAATTATATTATATTGTGTATCTTAATGTAAATATTGTAAATTAAAAGATCCATATAATCTCTTATTTAATTTAAACATGTCTAGGAATCAAGCATTTAATGCAGCAAGAATGTTTATAATAATATAGCATCTTTATGAAAATAAAATTTGCTTAGGCACGAGTTCAGCACGAACTACCAAGAAAACGGCCTACGGTAGGGTATGCTATGTGGGTAACTGACGACCTAGTCTTTGGTCGAATGCACCTCCTCGGTATTGTTGTATAGCTACTAGTACCTGCGTTGCAGGGAAAGGGACAGTAGGGACCACTAATTAGTACATGCAATTGGAAATCTTATCGACAGCATGGAATTTGAATTATGTATATAGAAACAAGCATGTTATTGTACTTTTTAATTTTACTCTCGCAATCAATATTTTAAATCAATACTCAAAAATGCTTGTTATTTGTATAATATACTAAATTTAAATACATATACTATTTAACATAATATATTTGAGTCTGTTTATTTTTTAAAATAAATTAAAATTTACATTAAATGTAAATATTTTTTATTAAAAAATATTTATTTTTATATAAATAGATTTATAGCAATAATATTATAAATTAAGAATTGATTTTTCTGAAGTATTTATATTGAAGAAGAATAATAACAAATATGATACTAACCAAAATTATAATAGAAAAGTCAATTTTATAATACAATAAATCTTATCAAATAATTGTATTATTTGAATAGCTGTTAAGTAATTATAAAATTTTAAATTAATATTTGTTCTCCACATTTATATAAAATTGCAATATTACGGCATATTTTTGTTTTTACAGACTTAAGAAATATATTTGATCTCATTGTTGCGCGAACTTAGCATCGAAATACTAAAGTGTCTCCTGATATAATCAATTATATATTATTAAAATATCCAAATTCCAACCGATGAGTAATTTGAGTTTTTGTAAGAAAACTTATAAAAATTATTAAATCAATTTTTAATTGTAAAAAAATTATAATATGTTCTAAAATAATATTTTTACAAAAGATTAAATAATTTAATTTTTAAATAGGATTATCTGATGTTGTGAGAAGAGCATCATTAATCATATTTTAATATGTTCTTGAATAATAATTATTCTTTATATAAGAAAAATGAGAGCAATTCATCAATTTGTTCAAACTTTAATAAATATTATGTATGTTATAAAAGTGCGTTCAGATTATTGAGTTGAATTGAGAGATAAACCTATAGAGAAAAGCTTCAAGCCAAACCTCATGAGAGCGTCTGAGATTTCTGTGGTCCATTCTTAATTGTGTGTTTTGTGCATGTTCGGCTTACAATAGACACAATAAAGTTTGACTTGATAATCTGGACACATTTTAATGTGCTCTATATATTACTACATATAGTATTATATGTACATAACGATAAAATAAATGCATCGATATTGAGGGAATATGAATCTATTGAAATTACAAGACTTAATATTTGAAGAAACATAAAGTGTTCATATATTCTGTATTGGTAAATATATTTATACCTATAAGGATTAATTATGTATGTAATACTTTTAAAACTTTCTTCCTATATCTTTTCGAAAGTTTCCAAAGTATCTAAAATTTTATCCTATATATAATATGTAACTAAAAATATATATGTAATTTTATAAACATGTGGTAGTGTCTATATTCCTATTTTTTTCAAAAACAATGGGTGTGCTTACATAAAATAATTTTAAATCAAAATTATCGCATTCGGCTTGCATTAACTCTTAGTTCACACAATGATTCTCTAGGTTCCTATTCTTGAAAATATAGGTCTACAAGTTTGCTCTTGCCATTTTTACAGGTATAAAACTATCTATATGAAAACGGCGGGAGCAAACTTGTAGACAAATATATATGAAAAACTAGAGAAATACACTATAGTATGCTATACAGGGAGGGGCATTTAAAACAGGTCACCTGAATAACTCGCTTGTTTTTGACAATAGAAGAAAAAGTGTCAAACAAAAGTTACTTGGTTTCCAGGGGCACATAATGTGATGTCAATAATTGTTTTTGTGGTGGAGGCGCTAAAAAGATATAAAGGTCACCTCCACTTTTTTAAACAGAATTATATAATTTTTTTTAGATAACTTGATTTCCCTAATTATTTTGCATATAAAAGTATTAAGGTAGAGATACCAAAAAACCAATAGTTTTCGAGATATTTTACACTTTATTTTGATACATATTGACACAAAATGTTAAATAACTCGTAAACTGTTGACTTTTTGATTATTGTACCTTAATACTTTTGTGAACAGAATAATGAGATAAATCAAATGGTGTAAAGAAAACACATAGTTGCTTTAAAACAAATATGTATACAAAATGGATAATTTTTTAAATACGCAACTATGTGTTTTTTGCAAAAACAATTATTGACATCACATTATGTGCCCCTCGAAACCAAGCAACTTTTGTTTGACATTTTTTCTTCTATTGTCAAAAACAAGCGAGTTTTTCAGGCGACCTGTTTTAAATGCCCCTCCCTGTATATACTATACTATTTTCTAAGTTTTTCATATATAAGTGTTTCTTTTCAGGAATGGAGGCCCTGGTCTTTTATTATACACAAAATGGATTGTTTCCCAAATCAGTTTTCATCATTTTAACAAATATAAAAAAATTATTTATGCTTAATTCTACTAATATAGATTAACTAATTTTTTATCTTTTTCTAGTTTTAAGAATTAAAAAGAGGACATTAAAGTTAATCTACATTGGTGGAAATAGACAATAGTAATTCTTAATATACTTAAACATTTTTAGAAAATATCTGTAAAATTGTGTATTTAAAAACATTGTACATAAATATAATAACTAGCTATATTTGCTTCTAGTTCTTCAAAGAATATATAGAATCTAAATGTATAGATTCCATCATGTGTACTAAGAGTTAACTTGCCTATCTTTACTGATCTATAGATTTCTTTGTATCACATGCTCCAACAAGTTCTATGTTTCTACCCATTCTAATGAGCATGTTTTAAGTTTATAGGAGTTATGATAGGAACATGTTGGAGTATACAACGCAAATAAATCTTATATTGCCATAGGTGCAATCCACTTAACACTGTAAATGTTTTGTAGACCAATCAGGAGAAAAAATTGTATAAATTAATCTATCAAAGAATATTTCAAAGCATTTTCAGTATGAAATGAATTGCATCTTATAATTATATGTAAAAATTAGTCATAAACATCATAAAATAAAGAGAAAGAGAACTTACAGGCATTGTATAAGATCCTTGGCTTCCTTGGTTTCCTTGGCCTTGGGAACTATTTGTAGGACGTCCTGCAATACCAAATTACTAATATATTCAAAGTATAAGAATATTTCAAATCACAAAAATTTTGTTTAATAAATTCTCAATAAAAAAAAAAAAGGAAAAATTTTTCATCCCCGGATATTTGTATTAACCAAGCGAAAATTGCAGACAATTCATGATAATCAACTATATTCGGTGAAGCATGACGTCGCGCCATATTCTCAACAAGCACAAACGAGAAAGCTTACGAAAGACCGCCATTTTCGCACTAACCGGCGTATACGGTATTGATTTTTTTCCTCTACAAGGAATCACTTTTGTTTATTGCGTTTCGTCGATACGATGCGACACGATACAATATACGATGATATATAAACGAAAATGTTTACTTTATTGAAAATATCATACCGTTACCGTAGTTCTGATTTTGTCTGCTTCGTGTGTACATCTTTGAGCAATAAATGCTACGTAGAACAACCTCGATTAAAACTGCGTTCAGTTGGCAATGTGAAAAACAAAATCGGTGTAAAGAAAACGAGTTGAGTCAAACGTTTATCTCGCAGTCGAAGATTTTGCTCTTATGTATGTGATAATCGAATAACTATCGCTTCATGCACGTTTCACCACCGTGATACGTAACGTCGTCGACCAGTGTAGTCTGCTTTTACTACTGTGTCACGTAGGAAGGGGAAATGACGTTGTCTTTTGGAATATCGGAAGTAAAGGCCGCAGCACACACTTTTGCATGACGCATAATGCATGACGCGTAAAAGAATCAACAAATCATAATCCTTCTTTTCCTCCCACTTCACGGAAGAGAAGCATTTTGATTGGTTGATTCTCTTATGCGTCATGCAAAAGTGTGTGCTGCGGCCTTAATACCTAATGTACTATACTATACACTAGATGCGTTGAGCGTATCCAATGAAAATTCTGCGTTTTCTCACGTGATAAGGCATATGCTGGATTCACACTGCATCCGATTTTCGTCGTACGATGACTTTGCAACCAATCAGAAAAATCGTATCATCGATACGAAGCAAAAATTTGTTTCCTGATTGGTTGCAGTCGTCGTACGACGAAACTCGGACGCAGTGTGAATCCAGCAATAGCAAAGCTCTCATTGGCTATCGCTCGCCGCTTCACTGCTGCGCCGCTCTTGATTTTTTATATTGTATTCTTCGTCTGATATTAAAAATGTTATCCAGTCAAGTTTATGTGAGAAATTTAGTCTGTAATTAATGATTATTTAAAGCTAAATAATATTTTTGATAATAAACAATTACACTATTTTAAATTTGTATTAGTTGAAGATGACTCCAAAGAGAGTCGAAATGTTTTAAATTTTGTTATTTCAATAGAACAAAGGAGTAATTTGAACAAATTCACTTCTTATTACTGTACGTACCAACAACGATGTTGTACTCTCATTCGCCCTTAATTTATCAGATTTTATGGTTTTGATAATAAATTTTGTGTTCAAAGAGAGATCTTAACACTCTTTAGGTTTAACTTATATATGAGACATTGCATCCATTGCATCATGATTAATTTTATTTAATAATATCGGAACAAGAGAAAGAAGGAAATATTTTAATATTTAATAATGCCAGAATAAGAGAAAGAAAAAAGTTGTATTTTAGGATTTAATTTAATATCAAATGCTAATTCTAATTTGTTAACAATTTCTACAAATGTTTCATATATATCGTAAATCTTCATGTTCATCAGATGCTTTCTTGATCTATTCTTTCCATTTCTAAACCAAGATATAATTTATATAATTAATTTTGATGATAAATAATATTTTACAAATACAGGGTTGAAAATATTGCTTATGGGGATTTTTTTAACATTTGATTTATTATAATTTAAGTTTTCTATCACATTATATAAACAGCAAAAAAGACATGTTAAAAATTTTTGTTCTTTCACTTCTTTTCTTCAACACTGAAAAAAATTTGAGGTAAAAAGCCTTATATAAAAAAAAATTACTATAGTTATACATTTATTTATAAGCTAAATTATAAAGAAAAGATTTTTGTGTGTGCATTTTAAAAACAAATTTTAAAAAGTCAAATAAAATATAAAACATTAATTAATGTCAATGTAATACAAGTTAATATTAATGTATTAATATTAATCTTTTATAAATAATTCTTATAGTTTATTAATACATTGATTCTCCAAGTTCTTTAATTAGAATTGTATGTGTGTGTGTTTGCGCACGCGGCGCGCGTCTTATTTTCATTACATAATTAAAAAAAATATTGACATTATTTAAATGATACTAAATAACAGAAAAATATCATGTACATACATTATATATTGTACAAAATTTATATATTGATTCCAATTAAATAAAGCATACATTTTTTTAAATTCAGAGTAATCCTTCCATTTCTTGCATAAATTGCATATATGCATCATCCTTTGTCTTAGGTTGCATTGTTCTAAGTGGTTGGATTTCTGGTATCCTATCTGTAATCCTAGAAATATTGCTGGATTTCTTCTTATCATCTCTCTTCACGCGCAAAGATGTCGGTAAAAATCTAGTAACGTCAGCAGCCAGATTCCTAATTTGTGGTTTCGCCTCTATAGTAGTGGTACTTTTTCCATCTTTATCCTTTCTATTGATTAATTGTGGTGCAGCAGAAAGAACATTGGGTGTTTTGGGCTGTGCGATAGTTCCAGATTGCGTTTGCATCTGAGGATTTGTTATATTTGACATATTCGACATTTGCATTTGCGGTGGTGGCATTCTAGGTATACTTGGAGGTCCAGGTCTCAATATTCTCGGCATTCCAGGTGGTGGACCTAAAATGATTATTCGTATCCTTATATTATCCGATTCGTATTCTTTTTATATATGTACAAATACATTGTAACTACAGTTTAAATTAAGTCAAATTTGTATTGAAAGTTATTGCAGACTTCAAAATAAAAAAATTTAAGTATAATGCAAAGAAAACGTTTTAGTATATTACCAGGTGGTAATCGGAGGCCGATACGAGGTGGCGGCGGTGGTGGCATTCTAAGATGCAACGGTGGTGGAGGTGGCCTGTAAAGTAGAGACGGAGGTGGCATGCCCATTGGTGGCATTGTGCCATGTTGTGTATGCTGAGCGTGAGAATGAGATGTGTGTTGCCCGGAGAGATGCTCCGATGCCCCAGACGGTTCTATTTCTTCGGACTCTCCTTTATTAGATTTATTATTGCTAGATTTAGCATTGGGTTCGTTTTCTGTCTCGAGCAGCGACAATCGCGCGTTTAGATCTTGAGCACGCTCGGTCTCTCTTTTCTTATGGACAACTTCCATTTCTCGCATAAACTGATCGATATCTTGTCCCGCCATTGCCAACATTTTTTGCTGTAATGTGGTCGGTTTGACTTTCGCCATGTCCCTGTCTTTCTCTTTCTCCTTTTCTGCATCTTTCTCCTTATTTTCTGACTCTTGTTTGTTGTCCTCCTTGTCATCGGCAAATCGTATTGTTCTTGATTTTATTGGTGGATCTTTTACCTGTTGATTTTATAAATATTGAAATTATTTATCGCAATGAACTATAGTTTTTTAAGATGCTTATTTAACATTACTATTGTTATTGATTGGTAATTTAATTTGTGATATTACTACCCTAGTTTGATTTAAGATTGTTTAAAAATTGAATATGATTTGCTGTGCTATTATAGAACTGGATATGTATATAAATTCACAACCAAAGTATTACTTAAATATTAAGATTCAGCTTAGACTGATAAGACTTTTTAATCACTTATTGTACAAAATTTTTCTGTTATAGCAAAACAAAAAATTGTCAATTTACATACATTTTCAACTGTATCTTCATCATCGCTTGATAATTCCGGAGGTGGAAAAGGTGGTACACCAGGCGGTTCTTTATTGGGTGCCAATGTAGGCACAGCTGGAGAAGCTGCATATGCACTGGTCTTTTTCAAAATACTAGGTGGTACAGGGATATTTATTATAGTATGGTGTTGTGATATATAATGAGGATGAGGTGGATACATGTGTGCAGGTGGCTGTGGCATATCTGGTAATGGAATCTGTGATGTTAAAGAACCTGTTGTGAAAAGAGATTTATATTATTTATACTAAGTAAAAATACATTATAAAATTATGTATCACATAAAAGATAGAATATATACCTATATATTCATAATACTATAAATATACACAGAGTGCGTCTGATAAAAAGTTTATATTTGAAAATGATTAGAGATAAACAAAAAATACTATTTCCTACAAACAAAATTTTCTTATTAATGAAAAACCAAGAACATTTTAAAGTTATTTAAGGTCATCAAAATATATCTCCCTACTTATTTCATAAATTTGATAATAAATGTTTGCACTATCTGTAACTATTTAAAAAAAGTGATAACATTTTTATCAAACTCACTTTGCTGGATATTATATACTAAATAAAAATTTATATTTTTAGTTGCATAATTCATCAGAATTTTTCAATTAATATTTAAATATACTTACCTGGATACATTCTAGATATGTCAGTGGCAGCTGATGGCAATGGAATTTCATCAACTTGCACTTGTTGTGCATGTCGTACAGCTTCAAAATAGGAAACTAAGTCTATTCTTCTACGTTCATACTGTATTAATTGTTCTTTCAATTCAGCCCATTTTTCTTGATCATCTTTTGCCTAAAAAAAATAAAGAAACAATATACTGATTATCTTACAGTAAAATCCAATTTTTAATGTCATGATAAGCTTACCAATACTTTGTATTGAAGAAAATTTATTATTATATTATTTATATACTTACATACATTTTTAAGACACGGTCTAAAGTTTCCTTAAGTTTCTTTCGTTTATCTTTCAATACTTTCTCATTCAAGGGAGGTGGTTGCATTACATTATACTCTAAAAATTAAGAAATATATATATAAAGATATATCCCCTACATATAATATGTTCTAAAAATTAAAATTATAATGTCTAACCCATCTGATCAATCTTCTCCATTTCTTCGATAATCTGCGCTGGATCTTTGCCTTTTAAAACAGCCGCTCTAACTAATTGTCGTTGTTTTTTATTCTTTTTTAATTCCTTCTTACGCGCTTCTTTTCCTATAAATAAAAAGAAAAAAATAATTAAATATCAACAGTCATTTAATTAAAGATTATTTTTTTGAAAATGTTTCTCGATTTGGTTATGTTCTCAATTACTAACGTGCTTGATCAGTGGGATTCATGTATTTCCCACTTTTTGTGGTGTTGATCGAACGGCGTCCCATTTTTCACAGACTTTTTTATATATTTTTCGTAACAATCGGAATAATAATGCGCTCAATAAACTTTCGCAAATTTCAACTTTATTTACGTTGACTCAAGGAAAACAGGGCGCCCAATACTCCAAAGACCGAAGACACGATTTGACTGGAAAACTAGTACATGATTGATGAAGTAGCCTTAACCTGTTTTATCCTACAGAAAATTGCAGGTAGTTATAAAATTCACCGCTATCGACTACGAGTCGCTTTATCAAAAACATACATTACAAAAATAACCTATAAAGGCGACCTTACGTGATCAATTAGTCAATATAATATTGTCAATATTAACAAATATTGACCTCCGGAACCTGGGCTATTTTAAATTAAAAAGAAGAACAAATACTGACAATATTACTAATCGTGTGTGGTTAATATTGATGAATTGATGCAGAATACTGATAGTGTTTGAATTTTGGTTTTCAAGTATCAGTTTTGAACGTTCTTATTATGACAATATTGTTCCGAATTTACGTTCAAGTTATTTGGAGTATAAACACATAGATGTAACGATTGATAGTAATAGAAACTGTAATTACAATTGCGTTTCCAAACATAGCAGATCCAAATTATCAAGTAAAAGGTTTTTAATTGGTGTATGCTTTTAGATCTTTTCCAGAAGGTGATCATCGCATCATCGTTTTTTGTGAATGCACCTTGTGAATGCATCTTTTTTGTCAGCAGTCAGATTGTGGGAGAACACCGAACACGTGAAATAAACCGGCATAAAAGTTTGTAGAACTATACGTATAAATTGCATTATTATATTTACGTATTGAATATTAATGTTATGTTAAAAATTATAATAAATATTGTTGGTTATATTATATCGTTTTTAACACGTTTAATATATTTTGCGAAGGAATTTGAATAAACAAGGAAAAATATTTATTCCTTGATAGAATTTTTTTGAAATTAATATAAATAATGTCATATAAAATGGGAATGCTCTTTTTTTGTTATGCTTTTACTTATTTTAATTGGTATTTTTTTTACATTTGCATGTATTTATATATATATAAATATTATTAGAAAAATGGCTCAATATATTGCACACGATATAAATAAGAAACAGAGGACAAGTGATATAAAAATAGAAGAAGATGTTACATTTCTTCAAATGAGACTTCCACGAGATATTCTGGATGGGTTAATGTCTGCAGGATTTCAAAAACCATCTCCTATCCAGTTGAAAGCCATTCCGTTAGGTCGTTATGGATTTGGTAATATAATTTATAGTTATCTATATAATATTAAAGAGTAATTATGATATTATCTGTCTTAAAAATGCTGATAATTTTCAGATTTGATAGTACGTGCAAAATCAGGAACTGGAAAAACCATAGTATTTAGTGTAATAGCTCTTGAAACTTTAGATATTTTGGTAGAATCACCACAAGTTCTAATTGTAGCACCTACAAGGGAAATTGCAATTCAGATAACCCATGTCATTAAAACAATAGGTTCAAAAATAGAAGGTATGTAATAATTTTGAATATAATTGTTATATGTATATATATATATACACATATGTACACACTTTTCCTAAAACAAATTGTATCTATCTTTTTGTCAATTATTTTTGTCATTTTAGGATTAAGAGTTGAATATTTTGTGGGAGGAATGTCGATAGAAGAAGATAAAAGAAAGCTGAAGAAATGTCACATAGCTGTTGGTGCACCTGGCAGAATAAAACATTTAATTGAGAAAGGATTTCTTCAAGTTTCAAAAATCACATTATTTGTTCTTGATGAGGCAGACAAATTAATGGAAATTAATTTTCAAAAGGATATCAAGTTAGTATAGAATTTAAAATTAAATATTAAATTTATGTATGCATGTACATATAATATATTAATACATATTAAAGACTGCTGTATACAGAAATATATGCATAACATATATAAGCTGATTAAACTTGATTAACATAATTTTAAATTCGAAGCACACTCATTAGATTCTAGCTGTTCTTGTAAAACTTGGAAGAACATATAACTGAATTTTTATGCATATATACCATAAGATATACAATTATTTGTAAATATGCTTTTTTTGTAAATCTTATGGCTAACAAGAAATTATCTCTATAAAGATATTACATAAAGTTATAAATCTTATGAGTCTTATAATTCTATTTATAATTAGTCTATTATTTATATTATTTTATCAATATGTTAATCCATTATTCAAAAATGTTTAAATTTTTTAGATTTTTAGATAGATTAGTGTTTAATAGACTTTAATGTGTGCTATTTGATATATATTATTGTATCCAATTAAATTTGTTATTATACAAACTTGTCTTGTAAATTAATAAAATTATATTAATGTTTTTTTTATAGTTATATGTTTTCTAAACTACCATCTAAGAAGCAAATTATAGCTTCAAGTGCTACTTATCCTGGAGATTTAGAAACATTTCTACAAACTTATATGTCTTCTCCAGTGTTAACATCACCAAATATTGATGGACCAGTTTTGATTGGAATCAAACAATTTGTGGCTGTGGTTCCGACTCATCCTAATGCAATGAAACAGGTTTTTTTTCTTATTTTCTTTAATCACAAAACTAATAAAATTTTATTTTATTAACAAATATTCTATATAATCCATCTGTTCATATTTTTAGGTACAAACAAAAATTGATGAGTTGGTAAAAATTTTCACCAAGATTCCATTTAAGCAAACTCTAGTTTTTTCAAATTATCAATCACGGTATGTAATTATTTTTTAATGTTTAATATTTAATTAATTTAATTATTCTATTTTTTTTCTGTTATTACAGGGCTCAGTCAATAAGCAATAAAATTAATTCATTAGGTTTTTCATCTTCATATATTGCTGGAAATCAAGACATGACTAAAAGATTGGAAGCAATTGAAAATTTAAGAAATTTAGAATGTAGAATTATGTTGACCACGGATCTAACTGCAAGGGGTATAGATATAGAAAATGTTAACATGGTTATAAATTTGGATATACCTACGGATCCGGCGACATATTTACATAGAATTGGTAGAGCTGGCCGTTATGGATCTTATGGAATTTCTATTACAATTGTTACCGAAAGTGAGCTTCCATTGTTCAAACAATTATTAATTTCGATTAGTGGAGTGGATTTTTACTTGTTCAAGCTTAATTTTGATTATACGAAAGATGTTTGGGCTGATGATACTTCAGTATTTGAAAAAATTTATTTGGGATCTGAGAGAAGTCTCACAAAATTGCCAACCATTGATAAAACTGTTCTTGAATCTGAAAATGGTATTCCTATAACAATACCTACAGAACATGTATTTTCTTCAATAGTCGATGATGTATCAGAAAATAATGTTGCAAATATTTCTACTATGAAACATGAAGAATGTAACAATGGCACAGCAAACAGTAACATTTGGTCAGCAGAATATGACAAATGTAAAAGTGTTTCACCAAAACACACGACGACCAATATGTTATCGACCAATAATAATGTTGAAAATATTAAAAAACATGGAAAACATAAATTGTCAAAAAAGAAATGTAAAACTGTTTCTGGAAATAATACTTATATAAAATCAAAATCTAATTTAGATGAAGGAATAAAAGTTAGTTCATTATTTCAACATTACGTTCAAAACAAAGCTAATTCTGCAGTTAATACTTCTAAAGAATGTAAAGAAGAATCAACTGTAGAATCTGTAGTTGAAAATTCTGAAGAAAACAATGTACCAATTCTAAACTCATCTAAATCAAAAAATATATATCAATTTACAATAACATCTAATTCTGATGCTTCTTCTGCTTTGGAAGAATTAAATAAAGATGTCGTATTTGAAGTAGCTCTATCAGATACGAATAATCGCAAATTATTTGATACAGACATTGAAAATATTATTCAGTATATGAAGGATTCTTTAATTAACAAAGAAGAAAATAAGGAAGAAAATAAAAAAGAAGAAAATGCATCAGTGTCTAATTACAATAAAGAGGATAAAAATGAAAAAATGTCTACACAAATTTCTCAGAGTACTTTTTCTATAAAAAATCCAGATTTTGTGCATAGTTTACCTATAAACGAATTGGATAATAATGAAAATGATTACATACGATCAATAGTAAATAATTATTTATTAATATATGCTACAAAAGTTGTCAATAACGACAATAACGTTTGTAATGATGAAGAATCTTTGTTGAACATAGCTTCCAAGTGGAAAGAGTTACTTGAATTTGAAATTAATTTATTAGATAATACATATAAAGGCATGACTGATTCTTTTTTTAAATTAATATATAAAGAACATTTTTCAGCTCTCAAAACTTTTCTTAATATACAAAAACGAGCTTTCTTGTGTGTTTTTCCACAACTTCGTAATGATAAAGAGGTACAGGATACTTATATATATTCAGCATCTAATGCAGATAATAATTTGTTAGATATGTACGAAGAAATAGAAGATTTTAAGAGTCGTTTCTATATATTAGGAACTAAATTTAATGCATTTTTTCCTTATCCTATAAATATTGATGAAGATATGCCAAATTTAATGATATCAAACTCTGAGATTGAAGAATATCGCAATGCATTACAATATTTTAGAACTTATCAAAATCCCAATGAAAAAATATTAGAAATAATAGATTATACAGCATGTTTAAATGAAACTGAAACATGTGATTTGATTAAAAAAGTAAGAGAACAAAATTTGTCATTTTTGGATATGAAAGTGCTTCTTAAAGAAACAGTAGAAAGAAATAAAAAACATGATAAATTAACGGAAGATTTATTATCTAAAAATTCTTCGAAAAGTGATAAATTGACGGAGTATTCACAAGCGTGTGAGGAGTTGCCACTTTTGGAAAATCAAGATGATGATACATTGCATAAGACTGTTGAAATAGATGCTCCAATAATGAATACAATAAAGGAAAATGATTTGAAGACAAAGAAAATGCAAAAAGTTTGTTCCTATCAAGTTACCAATGACATTGTCAATGAAGATAAACACAATGCACAACAAAATACAAGATATGACGTTTCCACTAATGCATTCTCCGATCAAAGATACAAGAAGGTAGAAATTTTGCAAATAAATGATGAAAAAGATGAAGAAATTCACCACAGTACTTCAAGCGAAAATATCTTATTTAGTTCATTTGAGAAAGATGTTATGTATCCAAGTATTGATAAAGTTACTTTAAACAATCGACAGAACGTATTGCTCTCCGACAGTAGTAGTCAAAAAGAATCTGATGAGGAAACCGTTCAACATAATAAAGTTAAAAATATACAAACTGGATATATACCTATACAAACAAATAACGTTGTTTACAATAATGTGGGTGTGTTTGGCAAATATAATAAACATGTAAAGTCTCATAAATTCGAAACAAAGAATAGCACAGATATAAGTAATTCGATCGCCTCCACAAGAAAGGCGAATTCAAGGATACTAAATTCACGTACAAATAGAAATGCTAAGAAGGTTCTTCAATCTATGTTGAATCCAGTGCAAAGCTGCCATACGCGAATTCCAGATACTAATTTATGCTACGATTTAGGTACAGAAGAGGAAGCGTGCTTGTCAAATCAAATGTATCACAATTACTGGAATGGACATATATCTACACGTTCTTCCCATGCATATTCACATGCTCAGTCACGCTCCAATCACGCTCTACCACGATATTTGAGACAGGATAATGATAATTATACAAATTTAAAAACTCACAAATCAGGTGATGATTTAGTAAACAATATTTATTCATGTGAAACAGATATCGACCGATTTCTATCGTCGTTGAGAATGCAAACTGATCAGTTGCATCTGGAGATCTACAAATCGCAAATGTTGGAGAATTAGACTAACAATAGTCAATAAGTGTGATTAATTTATCATGTATAATTAGATTAATAAGCGAGATACTAAGTCTGAATAATTATTCGAGGGACATTCAAATTGTACTGCGAGCGCATTTTCGTCAAATCCTTTCTCACGATGTATTTATGATCAAGCGGCGGCGAAGAATGACATGTGAATCGATAGCGAAAGGTCACGCATCGCTGATACTTAATACGCATCGACGAGACTTGAACTGTGTGCCGAGGGTAACCTTTTCCTACCGATTCGACGCTACCTGCGGTTATGCAATTAGGTTGATCTTTTGCGATTGAGTCTTGTATAGTCTCATCGATCGAATATTGTCGGTTGTCAGCAGTAAGGATACTTTACTATGTACAATCACTCTTTTTTTATATAAATTAACGTCTATTAAAACACATGTAAATATCATGCATTTATTTTATAATTAACAAATCATATACGATCTACATGTTGAGCGATTAATAAGAACAATTTATTATTTTCTTATATATAAATATTTTTTTATCTGTAAATATATTTTATAATGGCAAATATCGAGTTTTACTTTTAATTAAAAACATTGATTTATTTTAACACTCCATTTTTTTAATGAAAATAAAAATGAATAAAATAGAATACAGAGAGAAATATGTGAATTTGACTAATGCCTGTTTCTATCAAATTAACTTTAATCTCAGTTTAATTTTTTAACTTTTTCTAGTCTTAAGCATTAGAAAAGGGTAAAGAATAAGTTACAGCATCAAAGACATTACTCGTAGTCTTGATGAAGTGAACTGTAAATTTATGAAATGTTAGCATTCTAGTAATAGATTTGGACAATATCCGTGAAACGCATAGTTACTGGATAAAAAAAATAAATTAAAAGTTAATATATTTACTTTTTAGTAGAAATGAATATAAGAGTAAAAACATTAATATAAATATATAATGTTTAAAACTTATCGAGATCTATTCGGTAGTGACTCGTTAAAAGCACTATTCGTGCTGCCTGAAAATAAATTTATTCATACTAAGTTGTCGAATAATATTCTACGACATTCGGTCGCCCCTGCCGGCTATGTTAGAAGGATCAGGTTTCTAAGGCGTCCTCATCTTTAGGGGGGATGGGGGAGGGGGAGGTCCGGGCTAGAAGCAAGAGAAAAAAGGGGAACTACCTTACGAAACTCGTCTCGTGAGAAATTCGGAGTAAACCCTTGTCTGGTGCCCCTGTCCCTTTATTCGCGAAATGATTGTGTTTGAGGTGCGCGCCTAAGAGCAAATTTCAGTCGGTGACCACGTGCTTCCGCGCGAAGCAGTGCGTCGCGTGCCCGCGATTCCCAGTGTCCGCGTACATATCGTTGTCGTGCCGTTAATTGGAAAATCGATCGTTTAACGCGCGCGTTTTATCGGTCCAGCGATCGTCGTGTTCCGTCGACAGTCAGTAGTTAGATCCGGGTATCCGACCACTGGGAGATATGTCGTATATACGTAAATACTTCAAGAGGACGCCGGTCTACGTGGTGGAAGACCACGATGAGGTGGGTTCGAACGCCGTTCTTGTGTTCGTTACGCCGCGGACGGTGCTGTGTTTTGCTATACGCTCTGCGTCGCTAGATGTCGCGGCATTAGTGGTGCAGTGCGCGCGCGTGCGCTCTCATAATAATCCAATTGTTATTGTTACATACATACAGTCTCCTGTTTTAAAGATCAAAACTATATGTAAATCATATACAAACTATGTAAAATTAAAATAAAAGATTATAAATGTATTCTCTCTCTCTAATGTATTATATATGTATCGGAGTATCCCACCTGACTAATAAACGTCTAAAATTCTAAAATATGTCGTTTACGTTGTTATAGGTAAAATATGTATTTTATAGTTCAAAATATTTGCATTTTACTTTTATTACACTCAGATAACTTCAATCAATTACATTACGGCTTTAATTTGCACCGCGGTGAGCACTAAAATTTATCCAACCAAATTTGATTAAGATTATAATTTATAATTATTCAATATTTTGTAATATTCATGTAATGTATAAATCTCGGCGGTTCTGAAATTTATTTGTTTATAAATAAATATTATAAATTGAATGTAAATAAGTGCTTATTTTAAATACATATTACAACTTTGTAACGAAATTAATTGAATTCGAATATACTTTTTGATTGTCTTGAAGTTAGAGTGAGGAGGTCAGTTGAAAATTTGCGATTAGCTGATCTAACTTCAAATCGTCGATTTCAAGATTTAAGTTCGAGATTTCGACGCCAGTTAGCGCGTCGATCAAATCCGCGAATTTGCGACGCGACGCGTGATTCAATTTTTAAACGAATATATTTGATAATAAAATACGTCGTTTTTATCATCTTCTCGTAGGCTTTACCGTTTATATATCGGTGTATGGGATCGAAGCATCTGCCCTTCGAAGATAACACCTTCGTACATCTGGATTCACATCCTGATATGCTGATACCGAAGGAGATGCCAGCCGATACAGTGTGGGAGAAAAATCAATTGTTCAGGTATGTATGTCGTACGTATTAGATACATATAACAATCACATTTGTAGGTCTTGTATGATATTTCAATGAAGGATCATCGAATATGATTTTCTCCATTTCTCATTTATATTTGCTTTTTGGCAAAAGTTGATAAACGATTACATTTGTATTCGAATTTGAATTTTTAAAAAATATTAGTTTTTCTAGGCAGAATATATCAGAAGTAATTTATTAGATTAGTATTATTTAATTATGGTGCAAGTGTATAATGTGCACTTCTGATAACGTAGACCGGGAAAAATGGAAAGATAAAAGAAAATATGGAGATACATAATTTTCCAATCTGTTAACGAATTTTGTAAGCGGATAGTTATCTATAATTAGCATTTTGCTTTTTCAGCGAGATCAGCATCGAGAATTGGATTCTGCCTGCAGCATACGCGGGTCATTTTAAGAATCTGATTTGGATAAAACCACCATGGGCGAATCAGATGACTGATGGTGTATTGACGTTCCTCATTGGCAAGCAAAAGGAGACCGGCTTAATAAGGTAGGTGATTGTGTAATTGATATAATTTCCTGATTTTTGATTATTCATTCGAAATGTAATCCCAGTTCTCTCGATTTCGGATTGTTTTTAATTAACAAGTGAATTTCTGTAACTTATGAGATTGTTTATTGTTTTGTATATACATAATTTATTTCTCTCCATATTAATTTCCTAAAAGTTTTATAATATTAAAAATGATGCAAACTAAAATCCCAAACTTTTGTGAATCGTGATTCACTTTTTAGAATAGAGCAAATTCCGCGACTGACCTAGCTTTAGTAAATAAGGAAAAGCGAGAGAGGATTGATTATTACTTATAACAATAAGTATAATAACTAATAATTCAATAATTAATAATTTAATACGTTTAAAGAGAGACACGTTTTGACTCACGGAGTCTTCCTCAGTATATTATAGAATAATGATAAATTATTGAAACATATCTCATTTTGCTCGATTAATTATTGGTCGTTTAAATTAAGATATTGTTTTGCTGATTATTATTCATTTATCTATACTTTATATTTTATTGCTTTTTTCTTTTAAATTTTATTCATTAAATATACTTTTATTAAACTATTTTTTAAATAAATATGTGTGAAGTTTGATATTTGTAACTTATTTTGCAATTTAGTTTTAATTCCTACCATCACACTGAAAAGCCAATTTCATATACATACTCGTATATGTATGTACACGCACTTGTCGCATGTGCATAGGTTTGAAAACGCGTTTAGTAATGAAACGTAATTTAACATTAAAAAATTTTTCGCGGCCCACCAAAAATCGACTTGCGACCTTACACTTTGGGAATAACTTTTTTTGCTTGTATATATATGTACTACATATAATTTTAAATGATTTTTAAGAGTTATAAGAATTATATGAATACACTTATTTAATTAAAAATGGTAAATTTCATTATGGCTTCCGTCAGTAATTATACAAGACTTTTAATATTCATACATAATTACTTTAATCTGATGACATATAAGTACATGTTTCTGTTAATAATCTTTATATGTATTATCATATTCATATATACATATATATATGTATATACATTATGTATATAATCAATTGATCTTTTCTTAATTAATATGAGTAATTAAAGTGAGATTGCACACATCTGTTGATTTATGCCCTTTGAATAACTTGGGCATTATCTTGAAACCATGCATATGACCCAAATTACATTTGTCTTCGAAATTTACGGAGCATCGCAACTAAAAAGAAAAGAAGAAAAAACATAAATTGCGTATCGCGAAAAGAGGTTAATGGTCTTACCGCAATATAATAACGGGAATGTTCGGAGACAGTGCTTATAATATCAAATTAATGAGCGTACCAGTTCATTATATTGAATTTTACTCGAAAAAAATTTCTCAATTATTGATAATTGCACCGTCATACTGGGCTTAGGACCTTCGGCAATGCGCGCGTCACCATGTCGATAAGATCGGAGTCAGTGTGCGATCGCATCGGCAACTTTTTCGTCGAAGTTATTCATACGTAATTGCCTGTACCCACGCAGGTGCCTGTTCCGCATCATTCGATATTTCCATCGATGTTTGTCCCGTAGGATGTAAAACCTCCTTGTCCGCGCTCGCGTTGCGTGTAAGCTGTTTTCTTCTCTTAAACGCCTACCGCGGGATGCACGTACTGTTAATTGTTGCTAATTACTGTTAATTTTAACATCCCTGCCGACTTTGCTCTTAAATTGGAAAGTATAATTGAAATTAAGACACGATTAAGAACTTTTTACTTAAATGTTGAATTGAATGGTACGAATTTATGATAGTTTTTGTTACAATATATAATATATAAAAAAAACACAGTCACTATTTTTCGAATAATTTAAATAAACATGAAAATAAAGCTAACATTTAAATTCATATTTAAAATAATTTGTTTAATTTTGTTTAATACTGAACTACGAAACGCATTGAAAAATTTGAATTTTAAACAATAAGATATTAAAAATGATATATTATTAGTGAATTAATGCAGAAAGGCATTTTGCGTCTTTATAATCTTGATTATTTCGGGTATGTTAAGTTAGCACCTCAACTATAGTACTCAGGAGTTCTGATTAGTGTTCCCACTTCCTTTTGACGAGACGAAGAATTCCCTATAGTTAATAACAAGAGTTCCGCTCAATAAACATTTTTTTTACATTTTTAAAAAATGGGGTGCTAACTTTTTATCGAATTTCGAGGTGGAATAGTTCTGAGCGGCTTAATAGCTTCAATTTGCGATTGCCTAGAGTTCCTGATATGTAAAAAAAATTAAAAATTTTTGAAAAATTAATTTTTAGATACAATAGTTCTGATGATAATTCCTGCTTCTTTTTGACGATACGAAGAGTTTTCTATGATTTTTAATGGCATATGCGCTTAATAATCATTTTTTAATAATTTTTAAAAAATCGGGTGCTAACTTTTTAACGAAATTCAAGGTCGCATAGTTCTAATCAGCTTAACAGAAGTATTTTGTGAATACCTAGAATTCTTGATAAATAAAAAACATTTTTGAAGAATAATAAAGTTTATAAAAAAATAGTAGAAATCTTTGAAAATTTTTTTGAGAGTACCGAGTAGTTCTGAGTAGCGTTTCTTATAGTACTCGACCAGTTCTATCGAAAACTGTAAGGTGAAAAGGCGATTGGACCAACGGTTTATAAGATACAGCGACATTTGTTACATTTGTAAGATCATACAATTTTTAAATGAGTATATCTCAGAAACCGTTGGTCCAATCGCTTTTCCACCTTACAGTTTTCGATAGAACTCGTCAAGTACTATAAGAAACGCAACTCAGAACTACTCGGTACTCTCAAAAAATTTTCAAAAAATGATTATTAAGCGCATATGTCATTAAAAATCATAGAGAACTCTTTGTATTGTCAAAAAGAAGCAGAAATTATCATCAGAACTATTGTATCTAAAAATTAATTTTTCAAAAATTTTTAATTTTTTTTTTAATGTTCGAAAATTTTTTTTACATATCAGGAACTCTAGGCAATCGCAAATTGAAGCTATTAAGCCGCTCAGAACTATTCCATCTCGAAATTCGATAAAAAGTTAGCACCCCATTTTTAAAAAATGTAAAAAGAATGTTTATTGAGCGGAACTCTTGTTATTAACTATAGGGAACTCTTCGTCTCGTCGAAAGGAAGTGGGAACTCTAATCAGAACTTCTGAGTACTATAGTTGGGGTGCTAACTTAACATACCCGATTATTTCGAACATCTTAATCTAATGCTACCATCTCTCTCTTTTTCTTTATTTTTACTGAACTTTTTCCGCTTATGTCAAAAAGATCTAAAAAGATCAGTTGGATTGCGACAATGGACAATGGCACAATAATCTACAATAGAGATCCACCTGGAGATTTCATGTCGAATGAATAGGGTCCGTAGGACAATCATCTCGTAAACTCGGCTTCCTTATGTGCCCTTCTCATCCACCTCGTGGATTGTTCTTTTTGTGCTCTGTTTCACGTTTCGTAGCTCTCTGTACGGAGCGGCACTTGAATCGCTTACTTATACGAGAGTGTCGAGCAAGAAGGAAGCTTTCCGTTCGGTCTTACGTAGAATAGTTTCACTTGAACGATAAAGTATTACAAGATTGTAACTACCATTTGGTCAGTGTTTCTCACTGTTTCATGCGCTTAGTTTATATTTTTTATTCTTTCATTAAGATTAAAATCATGTGTTAAAGCATAAATACATAATATTTTTAGAGCGTAAAACATGAAATGTGCAATGTAATTATTTCTCTTGCGTATCTATTCACGTAATCAAGCAACAAACGTTTTTAAGCATTTTCTATTTTCACATCACGTCTCGAAGATCTCGTACATTCCGCGGTTTTCTGGAAAAACAGCGTTGATATAACGAAGTGCGCAAACGTTGTAACATATTCTCGGTGTCTAGTAATAAATTCCTGCCATAGTTAAGACACCGCTTATGTACCGGTATTCTGAATATTACGGTAAATGCTTGTTGTATATTTCGCTTGGTGACTTGATCACATAGGTTTCATAATTGGCGCAATTTAAAAAGATTTCATTTTATTTTGTGAGGCTAACACACTTGGCGCCTTTTTTTCCTTTTTTTTAAAAAGGTAATTTTCATATTTTACATTAAAATACTATTATAATTTATAATATCAAATTTATGATATTGACCTAGTGTACTATAATCTTTATAATAAAATTTCTATTTTAAAATAATACAAGAATACAATATTCTTTTACAACAAAAATTATAAAATATTTATAGATATCAAGAAATTGTACATTAAAAAATCAAAATTAAAGTTTAATAATTCTCTCAAATTAAACTTAATAAACCTCCCAGGTCAAGAACACAAATTAATAATTCTCTTTTTTTTTATTTATTAAAATATTATTGCATCATATTTTGTGAATTACGTTTTGCAATTTTGTCAAGTATAGAGAACTAATCGCGAATTCGCGGTTAATTGATTATCTTTCGACATTTGACGATAATCTGTTGTTGCAACATAATATTATATAATATATAAAGATTATTTGTTTCTTATATGATGATAATTAATAATATATGCTCTATGTGCATATGCACGCGACACCCTGATCGGTGTGTCTCGGCATGTATGAGAATATGATACATACAGAGATTATGGCATGGACTAGACCTGGCTACAAATTAACCGACATTCCACTTGCCAGACTTTTTCGCTGTTGTCTCTTACGTACCGTTTCTTTTCCCGCGTAGCTTTAACGGCCCTCCACCTTTCTCCTCATCAACCGTTCATTCCTATCGTCCCTGTCGCGTCGGTTCAAACTCCGATACTTCCTCATATCTCGAATAATTTCAGCTAGATTGCAATAAAAGCGACATCGTCGAACAGGTCTATCTAATAATACTTTAGGAATGATATAACATTATTTCATGATACGTAAACAAAGAGTATTTCTAGAAAATTCTTTCTTATAGAAATATTAATATGACATACT